CTCCATTGAAACTGTCCTTCGGAGAAAGCTAAGGAAGAGAAGGCTGGAGAAACTTCACACTCCTGTAATCTCAGGCTCATCCATGGAAACCTAGTCGGGGCAAAGGTCTCATTTAAAGTTTACATCTATTCATCTGCTGTGCATTGTCATTACAACCCTTCTCTTTAATGTTTACTGAGAAGGAACAAGAGGTTCTCTGAGAGATTTAATGTTTTAACTACAAGGGTTTTCTTTACTCTCCTAAAAATGGAACATTTTACCATAAGGCTTGTGATGATTTACACAGCTTGTAAGAGGCATTCGCCAAAGGGGCATTGTATTGGTGTTTTTGAATAAAGAGGGCATTTGTTATCGGCCTTTGGTTTTGTTCCCCTAAGCTGCAAATAACCTCACCAACCCTTGACGCTTAACCCACCCACCTGCAGCACCGAATTCTCGAGAGTGATGTTAATTAGCCCTCCATTGAGGCTGCGGAGGTTTCTTGTTCAACAGAGAGCTCTCCTGCAAAAAAATAAAAAATAAAAAATCGATGTTTCTTCTGACAGGTCTGAATCAAGCACAGCACAAAGCTCGATTCTTCAGCAGACCTCTGTATGGAAAGGGCAAGCGAGTGGATTTCTAAACGAGAGGCTTCTAGAAGAAATCGCAGGGGTTCCATGTTCTCCGTTCTCAGGGCAGAGATAAAGCTTCATGTGGTGGGGCACAGCTGCTGCCTTTCTTAGAGATCACGGCCCTGATTCCACTCGTCCCGTTGGTTCTCCTGAGAAGGAAAAGGCTTCCTATAGAGGCACCAAGTCTCAGGTCTCAGGGCATCCTCCTGAAACATCTTCTGTCTCTTTAGTGCTATCCCAGGAAGGTGAAGTTGGGGGTATGGTCTGTGGTTTTCTGCCGAGATGTCTGTGTATACTGCAGACATGTCCTACACAAGAGTCTCATTCATCCCTAGAACATTTATTACATATCAACTATGTACCAGGCAGGTTTTACTATGCCCAGCCACGGATATTCGAGAACAGAGGGAGTCCTTAGACCCCAGGACTCTTCTCTGCATACACTGCTCTGTGGGCATCCCTCCTCTTCATTGTGCCCTGTTCCCTCCAGGTGACAAGACTGTGTAGTTTTGGTAATATCCCGAAGAAGCATCATTTAACCTTCCCCCAAAGGACACAGGGGAGAAGAGCTGATGCTGGTGTAAAAATGGAAAAAGACAAGACTTAAAAAAAAAAAAAAAAAAAAGAAAGAAATGTTAAGGGATGTTTGACCTTCCCTTGTGGACAACGTCCTTTGGCAGCCTTTCATGCTCTTTGTCTCCTCCTGGCAGGAGACAAATTTTCCCAGAGCAGCAACATCCTTTATCCACAGACCATTTCAGAAATGCTATCTCTAAATTGCCAGCGGAGGTGGAGGAGATTTTGCTAAAACTGTTGACAGAGCAAAGCGGCTACGAGATCAAAGTCCGGCTACTTGGAATTCCTGGGCTGCAGTTTTTGGAGGTTAGGGGCAGACAGTGGTGGGCAGAGAGAGAGAGATTTCATTGGGAGGAAGGGTGCCTGTTTCTCCTGGCCACGATGGAGGAAAACATAGTGGTGGTGGACTAGGGAGATGGTATGTTGCTGAGAAATTCAGACAATCTGTGGCTCAAGCCATCCCATAAATTCACTGCCCTGCAGTGATAACTCAAAGTAGAAACATGGCCATGTCACCTGCTGGTACAGTCCTTCGCAGGCTCTTTGCCCTTGCCCTTTGCCCAACCTCCTTAGCCTGGCACAGCAAGTCCCTATTTGGCCCTGGCACCTTTCTTGCTGTCCTTCCTTGCCCTTTATGGTCCAGCAATACTGAGTTACTTGCAGACGTCCCAAGCATCATGCTGGTGCCTCTGTCTTGATTTACCTCTTTGAAAGAATCCCCATTCATAGGTAAGATCACCTAGTCCAGGAAGACTTCCGTGACCTTTCCTAGACTGGGTTGGATGTTTCCTTTCTGTCTCTTCCTCTAACCTGTTAGTTCTGTTAGGACAGGGATTGTGATTTTTGAAACCTTAGGTCCTCAGCACCCAGCATGGGGCCTGCTGGATCTCTAGCCCTTTGCCTGAGAGCCATCTGGGAAAGCTGTGGGTTTGCCTTGCTCCCAAGGGGGAGGAGAGGGGAAAGGCTGAGCTATCCTTTTAAATTTCCAATCACAGGACTCATTCCTCCTGGGAAGGAGGGAAGGGGTGGAGAGGAGCCAGAAGGAAGCAGTTCAGAATGTCATATAGTGGGACGCCTGGGTGGCTCAGTCAGTTAAGCGGCTGCCTTCAGCTCAGGTCATGATCTCAGGGTCCTGGGATGGAGTCCCGCATCTCCCTGCTCAGTGGGAGCCTGCTTCTCCCTCTCCCTCCGCTTGGGCTCTCTCTGTCAAATAAAATCTTAAAAAAAAAAAAAAAAAAATCCTGAGGGGTGCCCGAGTGGCTCCCTGAGTGGCTCAGTCATTAAGCGTCTGCCCTCGGCTCAGGTCATGGTCCCAGGGTCCCAGGATCGAGCCCCACATCAGGCTCCCTGCTCGGCGGGAAGCCTGCTCTCCCTCTCCCACTCCCGCTGCTTGTGCTCCTGCTCTCGCTATCTCTGTCTCTGTCAAATAAATAAATAAAATCTTAAAAAAAAAAAAAAAGAATCTCAAATAGCTCACCGCCCACCTCCACCCTCGCCCCCACCTCCCCCAGCAGGACAAACTACTGCATTTGCTCTGTAGCATTTGCGCTACAGAATTGCCAACTGAATTTCTTTTCTATGTCTTCTTTGTTTATATATCCTTTCCATTTTTTTTTTTTAGTTAAAAAGTATTTTAAATAAAAGTAATATGAGTATCTAGTTTAGAAAACACTAATGGTATATATGGATAGGCTCATCATGAAAAACAGCAATCTTCTGTTCCAACTCCCTGTAAACGCCGAGTCAATGATACTTCCCTATTTTAGTATTTCTCCTATAGTTTCCTTCAGCTCTCTACTATCTCCTGATTTGGAAGGGTGAGTTATTTATTTATTTATTTATTTATTTTTAAAGATTTTATTTATTTGACAGAGAGAGACACAGCCAGAGAGGAAACACAAGCAGGGGGAGTGGGAGAGGGAGAAGCAGGCTTCCCGCGGAGCAGGGAGCCGATGTGGGGCTCGATTCCAGGACCCTGGGATCATGACCTGATCCGAAGGCAGACGCTTAACGACTGAGCCACCCAGGTGCCCAGGGTGAGCTATTTAAAGCACAAAGCTGACCATGTCACACCCCCTGCCTGAAACTGGTGGCTGCCCTTCACAGTAAGGTCAACCCCTCACCAGGGCCAGGCCTGCTTCCTGACCCTCCCGCCATTCTTGCCTATGTTTTTTTCTTTTCCTTCTCCTCGTGCCGCTTCTATGTTTACAACTTTAGAGTGACTGTGCCTTTGTGCGGTCCCCTCCCCTTGACTGTGGGCTAGACCTTAGTGGCTCGCCCTTAAGGAATAGAATTTGGCCAAAGTGGTGGGATGTCGCCTTTGTGGTTGAGTTACAAAGAGTCTTTTTCACGCTCTCCTGCTCTCTTGCTCACTTTTTCTGTGGGAAGGCAGCTGCTGTGTTGCAAGCTGCCCTGCAGAGAGGCCCACGTAGCAAGGAGTAGTAACAGCAGCAGTTCCACAGGAACTGGATCCTGCGACACGACGTGAGTGTGCTTTGAAGTGGACCGTTCCCCAGTCAAGCCTTCAAGTGGGACCACAGCCCCGGCTGACATCTTAACTGCAGCCTTGTACGAGACCTCCTGTGTGGCTTTGGGCAAGTTGAGCCAGGTGACCCAGCTCTGCCCAGAGTCCTGACCTACAGAAACTGTGACATAATAAATTTTTGTTGTCCTAAGCTGCTAAATTTTGGCATAATTTGTTACATGGCAATAGGTAGGTAATGCAATCATTATGCCCTATTTTTTCCTCCTCAGTCATCGAGGTTTTAATCCCCCCTCCCCTTAATTTTCCCTTGCCCTACCCCTCAAAAACAATGTTACCAGATTGGATGTTCCTTCCATGCTTGTCTCTGTGCCCGTGATCATACACAAAATATTAAGCCTGTTCAAGAGACTAGGCCATTCCGTTATTTATCCTTCAACAGCACTTTCTAGCCTCATTTCTAACATAGGCACCCAAAGTACCCCTAGTGCCTGCCAACTGTAGTTGTGCTTTCCTCCCTGCTAAAAGGAAATCCTGAAATCTTCTATTTTACCTAAGAAATTAGCAGTGGCTGGCAAGAGCAGCAGAAACATACATGCTTCTATTTTTTTCCTTGGGAATCTGGGACTCTGCTTTAGAGCCCTAAAAAACACAGGCAGCTCTGAACAACAGAGCATGTGCTACTCTGAAATTATAGGCCCTCGGAACAGGGGACACAGAATTAAAGCCCTTTTATTTTAAACAAACATGCCTGGGGCGCCTGGGTGGCTCAGATGGTTAAGCGTCTGCCTTCGGCTCAGGTCATGATCTCAGGGTCCTGGGATCGAGTCCCGCATCGGGCTCCCTGCTCCTTGGGAGCCTGCTTCTCCCTCTGCCTCTCTCTCTCTCTCATGAATAAATAAATAAAATTAAAAAAAAAAAAAAGAATTACAATATCCTCTTTAAAAAAAAAAAAAAATGCCTGCCTCTCTCTAGCCAAATGAGTACTATTCTTCCAAGTGGACATTGTTCAAATGATTCTGGGATCTTTGAGGATTGCCTTCCCCAGTCTGTTTCCACAAAGCGTAAGGACACTGGGCTTAGTGCCTCAGGCAGTCCTCCTTCTTTGCCCCTCCCCAAGCTCTGTTCCCTAATGTGATGACCCTTCCTGTGGTCTAGCTGCAACATCCCTCCTCAGCATAGCCTTCCCATTCTCAGGCAAGCTCCACTCCTGCTACTTGCCTCCCAGAGCACTGTCTTCCCCTCGGTGACACTTGTCATGAAGTACTATAATCTTCAGATCTCATTTTCCCACAGGTAGACTGAGGGCTCTGTGTGGGCAGGAATTTTACCTGTCTTATTCACCGCTGTGTTCCCAGGGTCTGGCTCCAGCCCTAGAACACAGTAGGCATCAGATCAGTAATTGTTAAAGGAATGGATAGATGGGCTTGTTGGTAAAAATCAAATCACATCCTCCAAAGGCCAACTTTTGTCACCTTTAATAAAAGTAATGACTGATTTTATCAAAAGAGCTTACTGAGGGTCCACCACTGGGCTCATGATTTCATTCAATCGGCACAACAATTCTATGGGGTGGACACTATCATCTCCTTGTCTTGTAGATGAGGAAATCGAGTCCCAAGAGTAATCAAACAACTTGCCCAAAGCCACACAGTTAGGAGGCTGTCTGAAAGTTGAAACCCATTGTGCTCTCTCATTTTTTTTCTTGTTTTTTTTTTTTTTAAGATTTTTTTTTTTTTTATTCATTTGGGACACAGAGATACAGAGAGAGAGAGAGAGCATGAGCAGTGGGAGAGGCGGAGGGAGAGGAAGAAGCAGACTCCCAGCCGAGCCAGGAGCCTGATGTGGGGCTCGATCCCAGGACCCCGGGATCACGACCTGAGCCGAAGGCAGACGCTTAACCATCTGAGCCACCCAGGCACCCCTTTTTCTTGTTAGTTTTTAAAAACATTTTGGAAATTTAAAAAATTCAGATATGTACAAAGAAAACAAATCACTAATTGAGATTCCCATCGACCAGAATTTTAAGTGATGTTAATTAACATCTTGGTGCATTTTCTTTCAACCTTTTTCTTTCCCCATCCCACTTCGTTGAGAAGCCCATCGACCATTTCTTTTTTTTTTTAAAGATTTTATTTATTTATTTGAGAGAGAGAATGAGATAGAGAGCATGAGAGGGGGGAGGGTCAGAGAGAGAGGCAGACTCCCTGCCGAGCAGGGAGCCCGACCTGGGACTCGATCCCGGGACTCCAGGATCATGACCTGAGCCGAAGGCAGTCGCTTAACCAACTGAGCCACCCAGGCGCCCTCATCGACCATTTCTAAAGAAAGGCAGAGTCGACTTCTGTTCTGTGCAGCGATGCTGGGACCACCCCCCTTCCTGCTTCCCAAGATGGTGGCAGGGAGGTCTGGGTGTGTTGTGGAAAAGCCAGACAGCAACACCTGCGTGTGCTCTGGATCTGAGTAGAAAGGACTCACAGGGAAGGGGTGACTTACCTGTCCACTTCCTATGTCCCCAGCAACTTGTTTGCCTAGGAAAGAGGAAATCTATGCTCTCTTTTTACCCCAAACAGTGAGGCTGGTCCCAAGGCCAACTTCCAGGGAGGACACCCAAAGCCACTGGCTTGTTTTAGAGGGCCAGCCTGGCTCCTTCCCTTATTCAGTCCTCACCTTCCTAATTGTGTGTGTGCGTGAGAGAGGCAGACAGACAGACGGACCATGTTTGATAACCAATGCATCAATGAAACAGTCCCCTTCCTGACTCTCCTCACACCCTAGAAGGCAGCATGGCACCTCCACTGTGCCCACCTTGCACTTCGTACTTGCCTGGGTCACAGTGTATATTTCTGTGCACTTGACCTGTTTACACCTCTCTTCCTGTCAGACTGTGAGTTAGCTCCTCAAGGGCAGAGACTATTTCTTATATATCTTTCACTTTGCAGTATCTGCCGTGTAAAAGATATAAAGGCAGCCAAACATCAGCTACAGGAGAATGGGAAAAACAAAAACAAAAACAAAACCCCTTGGAATCAAACAGACCTGATTCCAATTCCAGCTCTGCTACATCTTAGCTGTGTGACTTTGGGCAAGTGACTTGACCTCTCTGAGCTTCGATCAGCTCATTGGTAAAATGAGGACAATGTACTTTGAGCTTGATGAGTGAGGATTCATGTAAGGTTTTGTATGTGTTACACATCTTAGCACAGCTCATGGCAAAAATCACGCAGTTTCTAGACCACAGTGGGTTCGGGTCTGAGCTTTGCCACAGTCCTAGAGCAAGTCACTCAACCTCTCTGAAGTCCAGTGCCCTCATCTGTAAGAAGGGGGAGACACCCACTTCACTGAGCTGCTGGGCACTTTAAATAAAAAGAATCCACGCGAAAGTACTCGGCTCACGGTCGGTCTTCAGAGATACATTTTTTACCCTGTCTAGACAAACTCCTGCCTTTCCCCTTTCTTTATACTTTGGAATCTCTCAGATATAATTGTGGAGAGGTGGACAGCATCCAGTGCTCAGGTCTACCCTAAGCCCAAAACAAACTCTAGAAATGGCCACCGGCAGTTTGACCCCATCCAGAGGGGCCTCCCACCTGCAGGAGCAAGACACCTAAAAACTCAGCTCTCCATACCAAAAGGTACGTGGTTCCACTTTCTCCTAGCAGAAAGTGTCCAGGTCTTTCTCTAAAGACAAATCACCCTGTCATTCTTAGAGTTGTGAACAATGATAGAGACAGAGCAAAATGCACACTCCCAAATCCGGATGTTCTGTGATGTCTATAATTAGAAAAGTTGCTCAGAACAGGATAGAACCTTGGGAAGGCTGATGGGGAAGTGGTCCAGACTTGGCTGGAATTTTACAGAGGGCCTGCAGGAAGGAAAGGAAGGGATGGGTGCTCCTGTCCCGGGAAGGACAAGGTGGGCTGCCAGGAGGGATGATGGCCCAGGACGGAATGAAACCTTTTATCGCTTCAGTGAAGATCGCCATGCTCGAGTGTAATTTGGAAAAGCCATCTCTGCCCAGCCCTGCCCATTTGGCAGATGTCCCCAGGTCTGTGAGAACATCTTCGTGCAGTTCTCCGGGCAGCTGTCCCCTTAAGCACACGTGGAAAACCAGGCTCTTCCATGCAGTGGGCCTTTTCCGACCTTCACTGGATCTTACGCCAGCCTACGGACCCAAAGGGGACAGGAAGCAGCTCCAGGACTGTCCTGACAACATAGGTGCCATCCGGCTTGGTCATGTAGACGGACCAGTTGGTGCCAAACTGGAAGAGAAGCAAAGCCAGCGTGAGGGAGGCAGCGTGATGGAGGAGTTAGGAATGACCTGGATTTGAGTCTGGCGCTATCTAATGGTCCTCTCTGTGCCTCAGTTTGCTCATCTGTAAAGTGGGGATGACAATAATCATACCTGGCCCAGCGAGCTTGAGGACACAGCCAATACAAGAATGCCGTCGAGCAATTAGCACAGCGCTCAGCACTTTGTGAATGGGCAGTAAGCACTCTCTTCTGTGATGAGACCTACCCGGGGCCTTATAGGAACAGTATCTAACCCCCAGGGCCAGACCTCCTCCTGCTGTGACAAAAACAACTAAAACCCTGCTTCCTTCCAGCACCTCCTCCACTCCTCCCAAGCATGAGCAGGTACACGCCCGCCTCACTACACACCACGTATTGCCCATGCATGATTTTACTCCCTGCCCTTTGAGATACGTGCTATCATTACCCCCAGTTTAGGCTTAAGAGGGCAAAGCCGGCAAAAAAGAAATTTTAGCCCAGATCTGTCTCCCTATTTTTCTCTTCCACTCTCACGAGCTAAAACTTGCTTGGTGTTTGATCTTGGGCAAACGATTTGACTCTCTGGGGCTCAGCGTCTTGAAGTGTGAAATGACTTTAGAAGATGTACCAGGCCGCAAGACAGCTGTGCGTGATGCAGAGCCCCAGAGCTGGGGTTGGCAAACCGGGGTTCTGCCCAGCCATGTGCTATGATGGACAGAAGGCACCTGTGTGCAGTGCCTGGCACATAGCTGGTGCTCAGTTAATGGAAGCCGTTCTTACTGACCGGTGGTGACTGCTCAGGTTTGCAGCCTGCTGGCCTTCCACGCTTCTGTCTGAATCACCACATTATTACCGGGCACCATCAGTCTCTGGATTTTTTTTTTTTTTTTTTAACTAATGCTTTAAGGAAGGAGACTTTTCTGCTTGGCAGACTCTGCCTGAGGGTATGGATGAAATCTGAGTGGTGGTGAGTCTGAGTGCCAGGTCCCCAGCCCCCAAGCTTCGTCTCTCGTTATTTGCGTTTTGGTTCCAGTTTTGCCTCTCCCTCCTTCAGCTTTTTCATTCACCTTCTCTCGTTTGCCAACATCTGATCTGTTTGGGGAAAACAGCAATGAGCAATTGGCCCAAGCTGGGGCCTCCGGAGCCAGGGAGTTGGCACCCTGATGTGGTCTCCTTACTTGGCCTTGGACATGACAAGGTGCTGGGCAACCATTCCTGCCCCTCTAACTCGAGATGGGCCCATACAGTGAATTCAGTGCCTTTATGGTGGCATTTGCATCTGAATTGGGGAACCCCGTTCTGCTAACTGTGTCTGGTTTGCAGGCCTGGCAAGAAGCAGAAAAACAACGGAGCTGTCTGCATGTTCCACAGATGCTTTGAAACCCCAGAGCACAAAAGCAAATGAGAGGACTTCCCCCTCCCCCGGATATAAACAATGCCAAAAGCAGAAGCCTCCAGGAAACCAGCCACTCCTATTCTGCAAAACACCATTATATCTCCTCTAGGGCCGAAGAGCCTTGGTCTCCTTTCTAGACCCATAAAGGCAGGGAAGCGGCCATGAGGAGCAGTCAGCCTGAACGGACCATGAACCTCAGCTTGCTACCATCTGGCTGCTTGTCCTTTGGCAGTTCATTTTACTTCTCTGGGAAGTGGGGGTAACGACCCCCCACTTCCCTGGTAGGCTGGGGTGGAGATGAACTGAGATGCCGTATTTAGAAGGGCTGATGATGTCATATTGAAACTCAAGGGCCTGTGGGACTCTCCAGGCTGGTGGCTTTAACCTTTTGGGGACTCTGGAGGACACAGACCTCTTAGTCTGTGAAAGCTGACACTCCCCTCCCCAAAATGTACATACATGCACAAAACACTTACCACTGAGTCCAGATTAAGAACTCATCGAATCCGCTTTTAACCATTTTTAAGGGTACAATTCAGCTCCCTTTGTTCTTGGAACACAAGGTACCCTCTGTCCCATGGCCTATAAGGACCTGTCCCGTCATTTCTCCCCCTTATTCACTGTGTTCCATTCTCTTTGGCCCCCTTACAACTTAATCAAACTCACCAAGTGTATGGGCATTAAACATGTTGGTCCCTTTGCCTGGAAATCTCCTCTAGACCTTTGTCTGCCTCATTTTTTATTATTTATATCTCTGCTCCAATGTCATCCTCAAAGCCAGGCCTTTCCTGGCCACCTAAAGCAGCGGTTGGTAAACTATTTTTCTGAAAAGGGCCAGGTAGGAACTATTTTAGGCTCTTCAGGCCACAGGGCTTCGTTATAACTGTTCAGCTCTGCTGTCCTAGGGCCAAAGCGCCTATAGACAAAATGTGAAGGAATGGGCATGGCTGTGTGCCAATAAAACTTTATTTACAAAAGTAAGGAGGTGCAGCTGGATTTGCCCTAGACCAAAGTTTGTTGACCTCTGACTCCTTTTTCTGCACTCTTTTCTCCATAGCCCTCAGCACTCTCCGAAACTCTGTTTATTTTGCTCCTTGCTTGTTGTCTGTCTGTTGTACTAGACTGTGAACTATGAGGACAAGGCCTGGCTTGTCTGTTCACTGCTGTCTCCCCAGCGCTAGCTCAGTGCCCAGCACACGGTAGACACTCACTCCAGGAGCTGCTGTAGGAAAGAATAATTTCTAGTGATTCATGCAAGCTTGGGCAGGCTTAGATGTCAGCCAACGGGGCACGCAGGACAGTAGCTATGTGTCCTGGCTGGCAGCCTGGCTTTGCTCCCACGGCCTGGGATGGCAGGGAGGCACCTGGTTTACCTTTTCCAGAAAGGCAAGGTGCTTACCTCTCTCATGACTTGCCTGCAGGCTCCGCAGGGTGAGATAAAGTCATCTTGCAGGTCACTGTGGAGACAGAGCATCGAACGTGGATCAGTCTCTCCTGAGGCATGAGGACAGTTGCTGAGATTCAGGCCCTGAGTCCCTGCCCAGTTCCAGATGAAGTCAAACCCCACCAGGCAGTTTCCGATTCACAGACACATGGTGTCACAGAGGCTCAGAAGAAACCCAAGGTGGCTCTCCACACTTCCAAGGGGCAAGGCCACGGGGAGGCGTGTCGTTTTCATCAGTGCGTTCGGGAAATGTTTAGCGAGCACTTACTGTCACCCACACTCCAGGGATTCATAGGTTAAGAGGAATATGTCTCTGGCCTTCAGGAGTTTGCTCAGCCCAGTGGACAAGTAGACAACTAGATGAGTTATCATTTTAAACAAAATGCAATTAGAACGTACAGTACGAGGAGACAATCCCTGACTGAGGAACAGAAGAGAGTATTTTGTGGAGGAGATGGCATTTGGTCCTGTCCTTGGAGGAAGCATAGAGTTCCTAAGTCACCATTAGTGAGCAGCTACTGTGTGCCAAGATCTGTACCAGGCACACGATATCCATTATTTCTTTAAAGTCTCAGTGCAACCTGAGTGTCAGAATGACCATTTTATCTGCAAGAAAACAGGTTCAGTGAAATGAAGTAACTAACAGGTGCTAGACTGAAGCCCCGTGTTTTTTCTGTGCTGCAGGCAAGGGAAATAGTATGTGCAAAGGCCCTGTGGCATGAAAAAATAAGACATGTGAGTCAAAGAGAAAAACAGGCTCCTTGCATCTGAGAAGTCTAGAGAAGAGATGCTTACAGCCAAGGGTTTGCCTCTCAGAATGGAGGCACCCACAGGCAGTCCTCCAGCTTTGAGCAGGGTGAGGGATGGCGTTCAAAGGTGAATTTAACAGTAGGAACCACCAGGGGGCACCTGGGTGGCTCAGTCGTTAAGCATCTGCCTTCAGCTCGGGTCATGTTCGCAGGGGAACTGGGATCGAGACCCCGCCCCCCCTCCCCCCCCCCCCGCGCCCCTGTGTCTCTCTCTGTCAAATAAATAAATAAAATCTTAACAACAACAACAAAAAAACCAAACCAACAGTAGGGACCACCAAGGCTGCTGGAGCACCAGCAGTTATGCCCGCCGCCACCATCGTCCTTGCTCTTCTAGACCCACAGCTCTGGGAGATCTCTGCAAGAACACAGGACTTCAATTCTGGTTTTTGGTCAGCTCCTCATTTTGCTAACCATGTGTGACTTTAACCAAGTCACTTTAACCCATCCAATGCTTTGCCTGTAAAATGTAGGGAATCATGTTACCGACCTTGCAGGAATGTTAGAAGATAAAATGAGGTAAAGTGTGCAAAGGGCTTTAAAAACTTCAGCGTGTCAGACACATATCAGTACTGCCTGTCCTACTGGGCCCTTATTCCTTTACACAAATCAGCTCGGTCTTGATTTTAGTATCTCATCATATACAGATTTATTGCATATAACTTATACATAAGTTTATTGCATATAACTTATACATAATAATTTAAAATTAACTTATCATATATATGTTGGCAATGATTATCATATTATTTAATATGTGCCTGGAAGGTTCCAGGCATCCTGCAAAGCACTTAAATGAATTATCTCGTTTTAATTGACAAATATTTATTGGTGCATTATGCCAGGCACTGTTGGTGCTGAGGATACAGCAATGAGCAAAACAGAAAACTCATTGCACTCCAGAGTTTTTGACTAGTGAGAGGAGCCAGATAATCAATCAACCAACCAACCAACCAACCAACCAACCAACCAACCAACCAACCAACCAGCCAACGATGCATCAAGTGGAGATAGACACAGATGGTATGAATTGCATAAAGCAGTTGAGGGGAGAGACAGTGATGGTGTGTTATTTTATTGAATCCTCATAACTCCCTTTTATATGCGGGGTTCCAAAGAAAAGGTTCTGCTCCATGGAAAGGTGGGTCCTTTCTGAGCATGCTCCCAGCTTCAGAACAAAAGCCCACAGGGACGTGAGAAGGTGGGGACCTGTGCCCTAGGATGCACACTGAGCCAAATTAACCCGTATGATTACCAGGTGACAGGTGCTGTAGCCAGAGCCTTCCATAAGCTCTTTGGAGGCTAGAATCTGTTTTATTTTTTACTTTTTTCTACACATGTTGACCCATGCCAGGCAGGCACGGGAAAGGAGTGACAAGGACCAATCAGAGAATCTCTGCCTTCAGGGATCTACTGCCTGGAAGGGGAGATGAAGTCTGCATGTTAATGCTCCAGTACAGGCTGGCTGTGGTTAAGACCATGGGAGAGGATTGGGGGCACCTAAGTGGTTCAGTCGGTTAAGCGTCTGACTCTTGATTTGGGCCCAGGGATCAAGCCCCATGTCAGATTCCATACTCAGTGGGTAGTCTGCTTCAGATTCTCCCCCTCTCCTTCTCCCTCTCCCTCTGCCTCTGCCTCACCCCCCCAAATAAATAAATAAATCTTTACCAAAAAAAAAAAAAAGACCATGGTAGAGGTGCTCTGAGTGAAATTCAACCTCCCTTCCATGACCTGTAAGGCCCTGTATACCTGGCTCCTGCCAAGCTCACCACTTCTTTCTCAATCTTGTGATATGCATGGCCAACTGCCCAAAGGACAGTTCCCTGGACAAGGTGACCTGCATTAGGGTCTTCAAGGGGGTGGGGTGAACATGCATTCCACCGGAAAGTTGGATTTGGCTCAGGCTTCAAAAGTCACAAGAAATCCCTTCTAGGCTGCATAGCCTGATGAAGGTGCTGGTTTACCCTTACATTGCACTTCTCTGTGCCGGGCACCATGCTGAGGACCTTAGGGCAATGGACTCATTTAATCCCCTAACAACCCCATAAGGTAGGGGCTATGTAGGTACTCTTATCATCCTCAGGTTATAGGTTGTGAAAGATGACATGACCTGCCCAAGGTCACCGAGCTACTAAGTGGCAGGACCAGGATCAACCCAGGATCTGTGGACTCTGCCTTTGGTAGTTTTGCAATTTGCAAAAGTAATAAGGATAAGGTTAAAACAAGTTTTAATTTGTTGCATACTCTGCGCCATGACCTGTATAGAAATCACTTCCTGCATCCTCACAACAGCCCAGAGGGTAGGTGTTACTCTCTTCCGTGCTATGGACTGCTATGGACGAAAAGCCAAGCTCAGATCCTCGGGCAATGGTGGCGCAGGATTCGAAACCAGGTCTCACTAACCCTGGAGCCAGGGTTTTTAACCATTACTCAACTTTCCCACCGGGAGGAAGAATCAAAAGCTTGGGAGAAGACGCGTCCCAGAATGCACTGGGTACAGCAGGACATCTACCTCTCCTGCCTTGTGCTGGGACCGACAGTTTCTGTGCTCTGTGCTGATTCTGCTCACACGCTAGGACCATCCTCATCAGAACAATGGGCTGGAAACCGATCGCCTTTGATGCCTACACTGCCCACCCCGCCCTTCCCGGGACAAGCTTAGCTCCCTGTTAGCAAAACCCCATCCTGGGCTCCACACTGCATCCTGGAGATCTCGAAGGGGCTCCCTGAAACTGTTCCCACCCATCAGTGTTAACAAGGGAGCTGGCACTTTCCACTCATCCTGTAAACCCACCTCCCAATTTAACAAGTCATTAGTGCGGTAATGGCTGTGTTGCTGGCCAGGGACGCGGGTGCAGGGTGGACCCGCGGAGCAGAGCAGTTGGCGCTAGAAAAATGCAGGTTTTATGTAAATAAGGACATTTGCTAATCACCGCTAGCAATACCCACTCCTTTTTTTTTTCTTTAAAGATTTTATTTATTTATTTGAGAGAGAGAGAATGAGAGAGAGCACATGAGAGGGGGGAGGGTCAGAGGGAGAAGCAGACTCCCTGCCGAGCAGGGAGCCCGATGCGGGACTCGATCCAGGGACTCCAGGATCATGACCTGAGCCGAAAGCAGTCGCTTAACCAACTGAGCCACCCAGGCGCCCAATACCCACTCCTTCTTAAAAGTAGATAATGAGGGCTGGGTGGCTCAGTTGGTTAAGCGACTGCCTTCGGCTCAGGTCATGATCCTGGAGTCCCGGGATCGAGTCCCGCATCGGGCTCCCTGCTCGGCAGGGAGTCTGCTTCTCCCTCTGACCCTCCCCCCTCTCATGTGCTCTCTCTCATTCTCTCTCTCTCAAATAAATAAATAAAATCTTTAAAGAAAAAAAAAAAGTAGATAATGACCAGGAGAAAAAGCCTTTCATTTAGAACATTCTAAACAGAGCAAAGCTACCATGCCATTATCTTTTTGTTGACTTTGGCCTCTTTTTCACCCAGAATATTATTTTCTTGGATCAGCTTTGTATTTGATTTATTTCCCCCTGCCCCACTTTTAAATTAAGTGTAATCCACATCCTGGGCTCTGCTCATCTGCACAAAATGTTCTCAGCATGGCCTCATTTATTCCTCCCGAAGCCGAAGGGGAGCCAGGACAGACCCTCGTGACAAGGGAGGGCTCTGGGAAGCTGGGCCCTTCTCCGTTAGCGCCCCTTGGCTCTAGTCGCTCAGGAAAATAGCCCTCAATAACCTGGTCCACTTCGGGACCAGACTGAGGCGAAGTTTAGGATCTTTAAAAACATGCTTCTATCACCCAGCCCTTGCAGGGAGTCGCGCTAGGTCAGGCCCCCACATTACTGCTGCCAGTATTTCTGCCCTCAAGGCCCTGCAGCATCACCACGAGGGAGGGGCAGTGCGCTCCCCATCCGTAACCCAGGCACCCGGAGGTCCTGAAAGAGCAAGGCTTTGTCAGCCATGCAGTAGCTCGATGCGTAGTTGAAACGTTTCCTGTGGCATTCTCCCTGCACCATTAATCTGCCAAGAAAACTCTCTCAGGGGTGCCTGAGGGTCTGCGTGGGTTAAGCATCCTGGAATCTTGACTTCGGCTCAGGTCATGATCTCAGGGTCATGAGATCGAGCCCCGCATGGGGCTTTAAGCTCAGCAGAAAGTCTGCTTGAGATTCTCTCTCCCTCTTCCTCTGTCCCTCCCCCAACTTGCACTCTCTCTCTCTTATAAATAAATAATAAAATCTTTAAAAATAATAAAAAGAGAACTCTCTCTCAGACAGTGCAAAGGTACACACAAGAGCAGTTCACCATTAAATTGGACGTATAACAGGGTCCAAATTAGTAAAATAGCCCACTCACGTGCTCAAATCCCGACGCCACTGAGCCTGGGTCCAGGCCCAACAAGAACTCAGTGAGTGTCCTGTGAGGGTCCACATGTGGGAACTTGGATATGTATGTTGGGGCAGGTAAAGAGAGTTGATGGATGCTTTTGTTCAGCCAGGACACAGCCTGGAATCTGATTAGTGTGAACCGTAACCAAGGTTTACCTGGTTGTCACCCCACCAGCTTGTCTTTATAGCCGGCTTCTTTGCACTTAAGAGGTGGGCGATGCCAAGTGTAGTCACAACCTCTCACAGTGAGGAATCCCAGAGGCAGCTCAACGAGAGTGGGGAAGGGTGTTTGATTTCCTGGCACAGCATGGTGTCATAGAATGAGCCCAGAGTGAGACTCCAGAGATCTAGGTTGGTAAGCTTTGCCATGAATTCCCAGGGAAGTTGCTCAACCTTTCTGGGCCTCAGTTTCTTCATCTATAAAATGGGGTAGTGCCCAGGGAGTCTATGCCAGGCGATTTTTAGGTCCCCCCAGCTTTAGGTTTCTATGCTGCCTTTCCGTTGTATCTTATAGGCATCCTGTTGTAGTTTGTGCTGTTGTTAGAACCAAAACCACACCTGCCCCTGAGTTAGAGGTGCCTTGGTTGTTTACCTGCTCTGTGGGCTCAGTGAGGGCAGAGTCCACTTCTGATTTGTCTCTTTTCCTCAGCATTCAGCCAAGCCTGACAGTGCCTGGCACACAGGAAGTACAGAATAAATGTGTTAGATGAATGAACAGATGAATAACACGTGTGGTGAGTGTTGGCTGAACAGATGGATGAATACAGCTGCAACCTGCCTTCCCCAGCCCTTACCTGGAGATAGCAATTGCCCTGAACTCTCTGTGTCCTTCTGAGATGGCCTTCTGAATCGCGGTCCGCTCCGCACAGACGCCCAGAGGGTAGCAGATGTTTTCTACGTTGCACCCTGGGAAGAGAGGAGAACCCAGTGGTATTTCCAGCAGAACCACATCCTGTGGCAGGTGTTGAGGAAGGGGCTTGCCCCATTCCAGCACAGGGAGAACCCTGTTACTCAGAGAGGGCAATTTGACAGGAAGCACTGGGAGACTCCATGACCCACTGCCGCTGTGGCCCTTCCCAAAACTCCCACCCTTGTCACTCACCCAATGCCTCCGTCTTGGAAGCACAGCCTGGGTGCAGGGGCAGCAGAGCAGAACAGATGAACCCAGCCCCCTCTCCCCAGCAAAGGCCAAGGGCCAAGGGAGATGCCGAGGCTTAAGAGGATGAGCAGAGCCCCCTAGCCTGGATCTAAGAGACAGAAGGTTCAACAACTGGGCCTGGGCAAAATTTTCGGTGGTGTTTACCAACTATCAGAGTTCAAGAAGGTTCAACAACTGGGCCTGGGCAAAATTTTCGGTGGTGTTTACCAACTATCAGAGTTCAACTGAATTCTATCTGAGTCGTGTTGCAAAACAACTGTCAAAACCAACAAACTAACCAACAAGAACTCCCAAGTTTTGCAAAAGGTGTCTGTGATTGCACAAGCCTTCAGGCAATCCCAGCCCTCCCATGAGAGGCGGGCTGCTATAGGGTGGCATAGCCCACCGTCAGGGAGTCGTCCTCAGTGTCCCTCCCAGGAACGTCCCTGGGGGACAATGGGCAAAGCCTGTTCCCAGGACACAAAACACTGGCACAGCCAGATTGGCTAAGAAACTCCATTTTCGGGGGGTAATCGCCACAGAAGGTGGGATTCCCCCTTACTGTTGGGATGTGGTCTGCGTCACTCTTCATAGCTTGCCTTTCTCCTTGAGGCAGAGATATCAATTGTTCTCCAGGATTTATCTTCTCCCTTTTTTTTTTTTAAGATTTTATTTATTTATTTGAGAGAGCTTCCTTAAAAAAATTTTTTTTGTTAGAGCGAGCACACACAATTGGGGGGGCAGAGGGAGAAGGAGCAGCAGACTCCCCGCTGAGCAGGGGGCCCGACGTGGGGCTCAATCTCAGGACCTGGAGATCATGACCTGAAGGCAGACCCTTAACCGACTGAGCCACCCAGGTGCCCCTCTCCTTCTTCCTTTAATACAAGTGACCCCTATTCCAATATGGCTGCTCACATGGCCGCTCAGCTAGAGACCCTATTTCCCAGATTCCCCTGTAGCATAGAAGTTTTGGTCAGCGGGATGTGGCCCAAAGTGAGGTGGGAAACTTCTGGGTCACATTTTTGGTAAAGAGATGGATTGTCCTTTGCTCCCTTTCTTTTACGCTCTACAGGCTGGGATGAGGTGGGGCAGCTCTGGCTGTGTAGTTTATGGTCATAGGGATGGAGAAGCAACAAGATAGAAAGCACTTGGGACCCTGGTCCAACTCATGCAGCGGAGTCGAGTCGCCTATTTGCCCTGGCATAACTGCCTACTCTGAGTTGTTATGTGAGAATAAAAGAGAATTCTGTCATGTTGGAGTCATTGTGTTTGGGGATTTTTGTTACAGCAGCTTAACCTAGACCTGACTAATAGAGAAACTGGTACTGAGAGTGAAATGCAGCTTTGACAAAAAAACATCGAAAATACATGGCCTTGGGACACCTGGGTGGCTCAGTCAGTTAAGTGTCTGCCTTCGGCTCAGGTCATGATCCCAGGGTCCTGGGATCGAGTCCTGCATCGGGCTCCTTGCTTAGCAGGAGCTTGCTTCTCCCTCTGCCTACTTCTCCCTCTACCTGACACTCCCCCTGCTTGTGCTTTCTCTCTCTTGCTATCTGACAAATAAATAAATAAAATCTTAAAAAATAATAATAAAATAAAATACATGGCCTTGGCTTAGCAGTTGGGCAACGTCAGTGGGAAAACACAGACATGGCCCTGTGGAAAGCTGATGGCCCTTGTTACTCTGTGGCAGATTATTTGGTAAAGCTCCATCCTGCAATAACCTGGGAAGCAGAGGGGCCCCTGGGTGGCTCAGTTGGTTAAGCGTCTGCCTTCGGCTCAGGTCATGATCCCGGGGTCCTGGGATCAAGCCCCGCTTGGGGCTCCTTGCTCAGCAGGGAGCCTGCTTCTGCCCTGCCTGCCACTCCCTGTGCTTGGGCTTGCTCTCTCCTTCTCTGTGTGTCAAATAAATGAATAAAATCTTAAAAAAAAAAAAAACCACCACCACCACCTGGGAAGCAGATTGTGCTACCTACCATTAGGATTTTTGACCTGGCAATGGGAATCAGCCCCAAGGGGAAGATCTGATGAAGGGTGATACCTTCTCACTCAGTCTACTGTTTTGGGGCCTCAAGGTGGCCACCATCAAAATGACGCAGCAGGGATGGGCCAGGCAGGGAAGCCAGTTGCTAAAGGAGGGGAGTTGGCAGGCTTAAGAACTATGACAAAGCATATAAAGCAAATAAACCAGAAGATTTCTAAGTTTTTCATAGAATTGGCTAGCCAGAGAAGCCAAAAGTCTGGTCTGTAAAATCCTGTGATTGTTTAATCCCGAAAGAAACCCTTGGATCCCCAAAACCCCACCGTCAGAAGTGAGCTGAGAGAGCTATGTGCCCCCAAGGAGGGGCATTCTCCCCAAAACCCACTTCAGAAGTGTGGCTGAGGTTAGGATAGTCAAGGAAGAAGCTCCCAGAGGGCAAAGCCTGGGGCCCCTGTAGAGAGTGGACAGGGGGTTACCCGCAGAGCAGAAAGAGAAGATAGAGTGTGTCCCAGGGAGTCTTCACAGTTCTTGCCCTGCAGGATGGATAACTGCACGGATTGGTGGCCGCTGTGTGTTCCCTGTTCTTCCCTTTTCCTATTGGGAGATTTTTTTTTTTTTTTAAAGATTTTATTTATTTATTTGAGAGAGAGAGAATGAGAGACAGAGAGCAGGAGAGGGAGGAGGGTCAGAGGGAGAAGCAGGCTCCTTGCTGAGCTGGGAGCCCGATGTGGGACTCGATCCCGGGACTCCAGGACCATGACCTGAGCCGAAGGCAGTCGCTTAACCAACTGAGCCACCCAGGCGCCCCCTATCGGGAGATTTGATGATGGTTATTCTTTCCTACTCTTTCCTGCTCCTACTCCACACTGAATATTGTGGGAGTGAGTGAGAACTGGGGTGTGGGTGATTACTTTTTAGACTCTGGGCCACTAGGCCAGCAGGATCACATCCGCACCTCAGGAAGGAGACTGAACAGCCCCGATATCCCACTCTCAGAGCTGGATGCAGTGATTGGGTGGGACTTTGGGTTGCCTCTCTTAAGAAGGTGGAAAGTGGGCCCTATGTGTGGAAAGAAGGGTGTACACAGATCCTTACAGGCCACAGGGGGTCCCGTGGCAAAGACTAACTGTTCCCAGGGTTCACTGTCCCAACAGAAGCCACTGGAATTGAGCGGGGCATGTGACTACCCAAGCAAGAGACCACATTTCCCAGCCTCCCTGGAAGCTTCCTGTAGTCTTGTAGTTTTAACCAATAAGATACGAGTGGAAGTGATGGGTACAAGTTCCAGATGACATTTTTTTTTTAAAGATTTTATTTTATTTATTTATTAGAGAGAGAGAGAAACAGCGTGAGAGGGGAGAGGGTCAGAGGGAGAAGCAGGCTCCTTGCTGAGCTGGGAGCCCAATGTGGGACTCGATCCCAGGACTCCAGGACCATGACCTGAGCCGAAGGCAGTCGCTTAACCAACTGAGCCACCCAGGCGCCCCTCCAGATGACATTTTTATGGGGCCATTGCTTGCTCCCCACTTCATCTTTCTCTTTCCCAGGGGCTGGAACATGGATGTGATGACGTGTGCTGGTTTTGAACACGTGGATGTAGACACCACTCTAGGGATGGCAGGACATCAAGACAGAAGGAATCTGATCTCCTGAACAGCCTTATAGAACACAGCAGAGCAGAACAGTCCATATGCCCAGGACTCCAGCCCATCCCTGGTCTGTCAGATGAGAGAAGCAAGCAGCCATCTTGCTCGAGTCACTATGTTTCTATTTGTCTCATCACCTGAGACTGTTCCTTACCTATGGCACTCCCCCCACCTTTTTTTAACGTAATTATGCAGGATTTGGTTCCTACTATAGTCAAATTTGGAAATTGGTCATTTTTTCCTCATGTATTTTCCCCACAGAATTTTCTGTCAGTGCATTATTTACATGGACGCATTAGGATGGCTTCAGTTAATCATTTGATCCATTAATTATCATCATGGTTCTCAAGATCACAGGCATTCATGTCCAACAGATGGAGAGGAATGGATGTCACAGACGGCCTGCAACAACCACCCCCCACGCTATTCAAATGGGAGCTGCCATCTTGTCTCACATGACCTTTTTATTGGTCTAAGGATAAGTGCCTGACCCACACTGGGCCGATCAGAGTTGAGCACCTAACTCACTGGGCCCATCAGAGCCAGGCACCTTACCCACACTGAGCCAGCCAGAGTTCTCTATGCAGGAACTTCAGTTCCTGTAGGAGACTGAGAGTGTGGGGTTGGGCCCGGTTGCTGGCCTGGTTTCCATTCGTTATAGAGGAGACCGTTAGGGGAAATGGACACTCAGAAGAACGGATGGGAGATGATGTGAGAGATGGCCAGAAAAAAGAGTCTGGCCTCACGCAGTGCCCCTGAGGCCCAGCTACACACCATCTCTTCCCACAGTTTTAGGAGCCAATACACCCTCCTTTTGTCTAAAATAGTTTGCATGCATATTTATCATTTACAACCACACAGAAGTCAGTACAGTTGGGATATGGGATATGGGACAAGGAGCGACCAGTGGAGTTGCAGCCCTGAAAGTAATGGTTGACATTTATTGAACACCAAGCGTTTTTGACTTTGGTCAAGCATTTGTTCACATTCACATGTGAGTCACTAGAAACAGGTAACTGGGCCTCTCTCGGGGTCAGTGAAAGTTAAATGAATGAATGAATACGGCTCTCTTGCTCCCCACCTAGTCTCCCCGGCCAAGTTCCTGGTGCCCGCCCGAAATGACTTCCTCTAAACATGTCCT